TGTGTGTGTGTGTGTGTGTGTGTGTGTGTGTGTGTGTGTGTGTGTGTGTTTAAGAGACCCACAGTCACCCCTGGCACTTAACCACTGTCTATCCAAAGCTTCCTTTAAAAATAACAGTATCACAGTATGATAAATTTTAGTTCTTCTTTTACAACAAAATAAAAAAGCAAAAAGCAGTAAAAGTGATTAATTATTATGCATTAGAAAGAGGTTACATTACATTTTTCTTTTATTATCAGGTGTATTCCTGTGTTTATATTTAACATGCATGCATGTTCCTTTGTGTAAATCATCATGGAAATAAATGCAGCAACTTTTTGGAAAGCCTCTAACTTGAAGCGCTCCTGTAGGTCTATAAAAAGCAGTGACAGGGTACATCAGAAGAGGACACCGAATGCAACACTGTGCCCTGTGGTTCTAGCTGGAGCTTAACGGGTCTTCTCATGCTTTAGTGAAAGTAGGCAAAAAAAAACGCAAGTCACAGACCACAATACCGCAGGCCCATGACTGGAGATCAGTGCTTGCCAGCCAACATCTGGCCTTGATTCATTGTCTCGATTAGGAAATCATCGGTGAGACTTTTTATTTAAACACTTCCGGATTAGATTTACTTCACCGCCACCGCAAACTGACAACAGGTCTTCTGAGCCGATTCTGCAGATACTTCAGACGGACTTCAGATGACTGTGAACCGAGTGGCCACAAGCAAAAAAGTCATTAGTGGAAAAACTATAAACACACTTCTCAGTGGCAAAGGCGCTGCAGAGCGTAATAATGGGGCCCCGCTCAGCGCAACAGAAACTACCGCTGCTGCAAACAAACACTGGTTCAGTGGACTTGTTACACTAATCTAGGCAGTCCCAGTTTTTCAGTGGGAGCCGAAACTCACACCAGTGCCAAACAATCAGCCACAACCTCAGTTTCATGACTGTTAATATTCAAACTGTCACTGCCATTGATCAGTGGCCATGAGTATTATTCACTGGTGGAGGATCCACTCTTAAGGCACCTCCTCAGTTCAGCGTCACTACTCCCTGTCCAGGATATCCATCCTCATCACCGAAGGAGGGACCGCTGGCATGTAGGTGTAAACAGACAGTATAGTAACGAGGTAGCTCTTCTGTGTTGTGCCATCAACTTAGCTAGAGGTTGTTTGGTTTTCCTGATACTCTTCACCCTCTCTGGTTGTTTATACACTACTACTGTATTTTGTGCTCTCTTCTCTTTCCCCTCTTTCCCAACCAGTCACAACAGATGGCTGCCCCTCCCCGAGCCCAGGTTTCTTCCTGTTAAGTGGGAGTTTTTCCTTCCCAGTGTCGCCAAGTGCTTGCTTATGGAGATCAAGTGATTTGGGGGGTTTCTTTTTAATATTGTAGGGTCTTTACTTACAATATGAAGCCCCTTGAGTTCAGTTTTTGGTGTAGTGTGTTATTTGGGGGTTGAAAGGCACAGAGATGCTGTGTTTGGAGCTGTTCCAATAATCTTGACACATATGGGATCTCCAGTGGCTTCAACTGAAACTTTACGGTTCATAAACCTGAGACTGAAGAAGACACTCAGATGAGTGATGAAACGTTTCTCCCACTGAAAGCGCCGCATGCAGATGAACAGAATCAACTTTCTGGGATTTCCTTACCTGGATTATTGAGCATGCATCAGGACATAATGTAGGCAGTGTTGTGTAATGATATGGGCCGAGGTGTTCAGGCGACACCCATGTGTAAAACTCTTCTCAGCACTTGAACTTGAACTCTTTATGTGTAAATTGGTGGGCTTGTTGTTGTACAGTAAAAGGCACGATAAGTGCACTTACGAGGGTAATGAACAATGTTCCATGATGTCTAACGTCTTCTATACAACGTCCCCACAACATAAGAAATGACGACACTACAGTTTATTGAGAGTAAACATTCACAGACTAACTGGAAAGGTGTTGCATCACATTAGAGTACAGTTCAGGCAACATTGACACAGAGCTTGGCCTACTTAACTTACCCTAGCACATGACAGAGGGCTGACATTTCAACATCAAGAAGGAGCGACATGCCCATTTTTGTTTTGTTATGTCTCTGTATTTTATATTTATGAGATTTACTCTGACACAAAGACATGTTTTGTTTCTAACAAATACCCTCATCAGCTCTTATTTAAGTTGAACTGAACTCTGTAAAAGCTAGACGGGTTAGACGTGTGGCAAAAGCCAATGGAAATAATGATGTACCAATGAAAAGAAGCTGAGAAGGGCTCTGCAAAGCTGCCACTAATCGCTGGCAGAAATCATAACAAACTAAAAGGCAAATCTAATTTTTAATGTTAGATACAGTTTCTTATATAATCATGGAGAAAAAAAAACAAAAAACATGATTTTTTTGACTGCTGCAAACACTAAATGGTGACATAAAGGGGAGAAAAACTGAACCGAGTTTATCTCCAGATAAAAATGGTGGCTCGTAAATAGATCTCAACTTGAGATAGAGAAATCTGGACATTATTTAACAATAATCATTATAAAAAGATCTGAACATTTCAATAACTCCCTTGATTAAAATTGTTGAAGGAAACAAATGCATTGAAACCAAATAGCCCTCACTTGGTTTTAAGTTTCGATGGAATTTCATTTTATTATGACTTTAAATCCACAATTACACTGAAAAATCAAGCTATGAGGGAGATTTTGCTGCATTACATTTTGTACTGAAGCCCTTGTTTTGTGTTGTGCTATGTTGTAAATCCAGGGCACAATTTTCCTTTACATCGCTGACCGTTCAGCTGTCACTCCCCATTAGGCTCAGCTCGAGCCAAAAAGAGAGCCTTTGGTCAACAACAGAAGCAAAAGCGATTCACCTGTGTGGAAATAACAAATATCTTTCAACAAAATGAGCACAGCTTGGGCTCTGGCAGCCCACAAGTCAAGCTCGACCAGCAATCAGTGCCACAACACATCAGCCGATGCTTCAGCTGAGTTCCTTCTGCACATCCTATTGGCAAAGATCATATGCAATGCCAGTGAAGATGCTTCAGCCTGCATACAAAAACCTACTTTAACTGCTTTAAGCCATTTTACAATCAGTCTGCTGTCATTAATGCCTGCTATGTCACGAGGAGCTCCTGTGGTGCCCTCCATGCCCTTTCATGGTATCCACACGGCCATGCTATCCATACAGGTAGCCATGTTCTTTTGTTCATATTAATATCGATAAGGGTATAAGCAAAGAATCGAAACGGGTCAATGTCAAACTGCATCATTCAGAAATGATCACACAGCCGAATACACACAACCTCAAACATTGTTAGTGAAAACTGGACATTATCCTCCTCGTGAAGGCCAGATTTATTGCAGGACTGTTTTTTTGAGACCTTTCAAGTTTTATCTTTGTATATCTAAACTGTCAAGTGTAGATTTAGAAGTGAATTTGAATTTCCAATGAATTTGTATTTAAAAAACATTTGTTATAAAAGAAGACGTATGACTATCTGAGTCACTGAAAAGTTCAGGATGAATGGGTAGGTGGAATGGTGTTTCACTGGATGGGTGGATTGAAAAATTGAGCTTTCAAGTTAAATGCCTTTTAACTATTACTGACTAAGGAGATTCTGCCATCTTAGTACTTTTAGACCTCAGCGCTGCATTTGATACCGAGATACATCTTCTCAAAAGCCCTTTTTTCTATTTCATATGCTCCGCCTTGCTCATTTAAAAAACTTTTATTTATTATTATTTATTACTTATTATTTATTTTTGCGTTTCACTTATATGCATATGATTTGAAGATTTACGTGCCACTCAAACATCAATTCTTCTGAAGGTCCTGCTGCACTGTTTCGGGAGATATTTGGACATGGATGGCTTTAAATGTTCTTAACTTAAATGAACAGAGAGCAGAGGTCAATGTGTTCGTTGCTCCTGACTTTGACCTCAGCCCTTTAAAAATGTTTTTAAAAAAAATCCTTTGCAAGGAATTTAGAAGTGTGTAACAACAATCCAAGTTTTGACAAACCTTTGCAGTTGCTTCACCAAAACTGTGAATCAAACTGGCCAACATTGGTACTTCTCTGAAATTAGACACTTGAAAACCATTTTTAATGTTTGGCTTCTAAATGTTTGAGTTCAGAGTTCCTTTTATTTGTGTTGTTTTTACTCAGATTTTCTCACTTTATGTTTCCTTTCTTAAAGGCTATCATTTTGTCCTTTGTTTTATGTTATTTGATTTTATTTATTTTTTGTTTTTAATACAGCATTTTAGTCAACAGCTGCTGATTTTTAAATGTGGTATATAAACAAACTTGACATGGATGAATGGATGTGTTAATAGGTGATTGCATCACAGATAGCACACGTTTTAGTTTTAGTAGATAATCTTAATAAAAAGCTGCTTACTTCTCTGACAGTGGTTGTGGGTCCAGCAGCGTTCACTGAAGTGCCCATTGAGGGTGGTCGTCTGACAGGTGGTCTTTCCGACTGCCGCCCCTGGACACACATCGCCACACTCTCTGTCATTCTTGTTGGCCACGATGTAGTTGTCCTCCACCGAGTCCAGGATCTTGGACCAGTCCAGGGTGGAGAGATAGCAGAGATCAGGGTTCTTCTCAATTCTCACAGCTCCTCTGGTGATGTTCATCAAACTATGAAGGCCGATCTCGCGCAACTGGAGCATCTCAAACACAACCAGGGCATAGTTGAAGAAGAGGTTGTTGCCTCTGATGACCGTCAGGTTGGGGAAGAGTTCGCTAAGGCTCTCTAGCCCGTAAACTCTGAAGAGCAACAGATAGTCGGTGATGACTGTCAGCTTGGGGAAACTTATGCCTCTGAAATCCTCAGGCCTGGTCCTGAACATGAGTAGGATCTTCAGGTGGCCTTCAATCACAGTACAATTCTCAAGCGTCCGCAGGTTGGTCACATTGTTGCGGATGTCCTTGCTGGGACAAACTGAAAAGAGAATCAGAAAGACAGAAACATATTCTTTAGAAACTAGTTCTAGTGTCACATACAGAATAATAAACAGTAAATTGGTGGAGAGGTTCAAATGTACAGTACGCCATTAAGAGTGACGAAACTGTGATGCATTTCAGAAAAATGTTTTGGCTCTTGGGTGTGAAGACAAAAAAATTTCTAAGGACAATTAATCTTATGTGTTGTCTGCTCTTCTCAGTGTCGAACGTGCATTACACAAGATGTCTGCTCTGTGCACAGGAAAAACAAGGTCGAAGAAGTAAGACGTGACAGATAGGGGGAAAAATAGATCTCTTGATAATTAGGAGATATTTCTTTCCTGAAGAAAATATGTGGCTATGTCCCTAACTTTGATAAAGACCAGACCATCTTCCTTGACATTTTGTTTAGCAACCACATATCTGTCTGTGAGCCTCTGTCAAATATGGAGCGCTGTCATCAACGTGAGGCTATGCTCATCCTTGGTTATGCCGAGTTGATTTGTGGAGTTGCTTCTGCAACTCAAGACCATAAAAAACATTAGCTAATGCATTAAAAATATTTGTCCTTGGTAATGGCCATGTATTGCACCAGTAGCAGATTTGTGGCTTTGTCAGTGCTCACCCAGACACATGATCCTGTTCGATGACAAATTCCTTAACTATGCCACCCCGCAGACGGGTTACATGTTTTTCTGTCTACTGTATTGCTGTGACGCAACACGTGAGATTAATGTTAGCCAGAAACTATCATTCGTCTGTCAAGTGTTATTTTGACACCACTGCTTATGTTTAGTCCAAAACTCAACAATATTACAGCTAACCCTAAGAACCACAGCAGTTTCTGGGTATTTTTTTTGAAATCCTGTCACATTTTTACTCACCCTGAACTAATTTTCCTGACCTGCATATTTATGTAAACAGAACATGCCCAGCTTGAAATAGAAAGAATTCAAAAATAAGGCACGAATTAAAAGTTTTTGGACTTTTGATGACTCTGCCAGGTGTAAGAGTCATGCAGACATAAAATTACTTTTATTAATTGCAGCAGAAATTAATAAATATTAATAAATAAATTGATTTCTTCAGCTTTAGATGAATGTCCAGTGTGTTGCAAGAGCTACAAAGAAAACAGGGAGTTGAGTATAAAGAAAACTAAAGGTAATTTCCTAAAATGCCTTTTTTCAAATTAGCCAAACTCTTAACCTCATGGAAGTGCTATATGGGTCACCCCAGCCTTAGTCATGCTGGAGGTGTGCAGCCTGCTGAGAGTGGACTGCATTTGTTTACCAAAGGGCCAACCGCTGAGCCGGGGACATCAACCAGTCAACCGGTCAGCCGTGTGGAGACGAATGTAACCACTAGGTGTACTTGTCTTTATGGCCGCAGCTCATTTTACACCTTCTGTTGCATAACAGTACAAGACAAGCAGAGCACAAACACAGAGTCCAATCACCGGGAGACTGAACAACAAGCGTTTCACTTTGTAACCTTAACCAGGAAGCTAATTCTCCAGCACTTATCTGGAGTTGAGCTTACAACTCGGAGGCGTGTTTAAAACGGAGCGTAAAATGTTCAAATGAGGGTTTCAGCTGCTGCCCATTAAAAGCAGCTCAGTTTGTTAAAAGGCACATTTCTCTTCTTAAACTACACAAAGATCAGCAGCTCTCCTTGGAGGCACTGCTAAGTTGTAAGCACATATGACGGGCCACAATCCTTTTACTTTCAGCACATCTACTTCAAATTTAAACTTTTCTCATCAAACTGACTGACAAACTGCCAGCAGCCTACTATAGATCCATTAGGAAACACATTTACAACTACAAGCTTCTCTCTGTATCATACAAGGCCCCACACACAGTCGAGCAACGCCATTAAAAAGAACAAACAACAGCCGAAGTTTACAATACGAAGGGTCAGTGGCTGTGTAGTCACAGCTAAGGCAGAAAGCAGAGGACTAAAATGAGAAGGGGAATAATCACAGGGCGGCGAGTGCAAGTTCCTATCAGTGTACACTTTCAGCCAGGCCAGTATTTTTAGCACCACATTCCCAATAGAGAATCTAATACACTCCAGTCCTACCGATAGTGGCTCACATTGGAAAGTGGAACATAGCAGCCCTGGTGTGTAAGTGAGGAATTTTGGAGCAGCGGCAGAGAAAGAAACTGTCCGAGCACTCTTCTCTACCTGCGAACAGCAAGTTCAAAAACAAAACTTTGGCAGACAAAAACTAAGGCGGCTTAAATTTAGCTCATGACAACATGTCATGACTGAAACAAGACAAACTGGGGCCACTGATGAATTTACATGCTCCCCGTATTGTGGAGAAACAGAGAAACTGGGAGAGTTCACAAAGGTTTCTATTGTCAATAGGCCAGCTCCCACTCTCCATACATCCCTTACTCTGAACCAGAGACTGAAAAGACTGCTTTGAGTCATCAATTAGAGTTGTTAGAGGGGCACATTTCTATTCACCACAGCCATCATGTCTCTCGCTGCCTACACCTTTGAGAGAGATGAACTTTAGAATTAATCGAATAGGAGCACTATGATAGACACAAAAAAACAGGCATAAATATATTAATAATAACTATAATAATCACAGTGTATATGTTTTCCCTAAATGAAATTTATAATGAGCAACAAATCGCACGAAAAGACAAAATAGAATTATTTTGAGAAACATATTCTTTTATTATGAAAAACTGGGTCTTTTAACACCATTTATCAGCAGGATAAATAGTTGGTTTTGGCCTCTTTGGGCATTTTATTAAATATCGCTCAAATAACCCAGCCTCCATTTACACGTCCACAATATAATACCGTGTCTGGATTATCTTATCTGGATGAGGGGAAAATGCAGAACATTAGCTCTGAAACAACATTCTGATAAGCAGTTAGTTAAACAAATAATCAGCTTCTCAGAGCTGGAGGAGATTTGATGCTTTCAATGTAAATTATTCACTGTAAGGTGAATATGTCTGAGTTCTGAACATTTGGTACATCAAACGATGAAGAAATATAAAGGACGATTGGAGATTGTGGCTATGTTTCCTTTTTTTTTGCGCCACGGACCGGTTTATGTCCGACAATATTTTCACGGGCCGGCCTTTAAGGTGTCGTGGCTAAATACAACAAAATAAAACCAGTACTGGTACCAAAAAAATAAGATTTATTCATAACACACGGGAAAAGACCCAGGGAAACTGAGTTAACGATGAAAAGGATTAAAAAAGAAACTCTAAAAACCATACATTTCACACCCGAGCCTTAACTCTTGTGGCCTGGTACCAAACGACTCACGGACCGGTACGTCGTCCGTCGCCCGCTGGTCAACGGTACTCTCTCCAATCCCAAAATGCAAAGAAAAGCTGGCGCTTGGAAGGGACTTAACTTACAGTGTACACTTAACAGTTAGGTTGGTTCGAGGTCTGAACATCTTCTCGTGATACACGAACGACACTTGAGTTCATCTGGAAAAAAACGAGACCAGCTCCTCTAAAGGGTCCTGGTGCAGTTGTTTTGGTCTGCACCCAAATGCAATGACATCTTCAGAAATGAAGTGCACCAAGCAGGAAAACAAACCAGAGCTTGGTTTAAACGACTAAACAGTGCAGACATGAAACGATGTCTGTGAATTTCAGATGACCACAAGAGATGGTGTAAAATAGCCGTGTATCCTTTACGTTGCACGCGCAGAGGTCGAGACACAATACCAATAAAGTCACACTTGTGACCTTGGCGACGCAAGCAACCTGACAAATGGACGTGGTGCCCAGCTGAAGTTTGGAAAGAAGATGAAAGTGAGATGCTTGCTGGATGCCTGGCCCCTTCATTAAGAATGAAATACAAACACGCTTACACCCAGACTGTACTTTCCACATCCAGAAGTTTGCTCGGGTCCGCATGAGGTCAATTTTATCATGGTGAGCACAAGGATCCGTGCTGATGTCCATGTGCTTGCATGTTATTTGTGACCATGTGGACTAGCGTACAGAAAACTTACATAACAATGCACAAATTACACATCTCCAGCTTCCTGTCTGTTTCTGCAACCATATACATACATGGCCCTAAGTGAGCGTGCTGCCTAGGATGAACACGTAGGTAGGAATGTCTATAAGGATACCGGCAGAATTAAGCAATTCTCGATACCCAATTCAATACGTCCATTTCAGAATAACAAAAGAAACGTGATACTTTGGATGTTTTTGAAACTAACTCAACTTGAATTATTTCTTGAAGTATTTTAAAATCAAATGGTACCATATGTATTGGTTCTGGTGACATCCCTACATTTAGGAGGCAGCACATATGACTCACAACTCCAGTGACTAGCTGCGAATTAACTGGACTCCACTACTCTCGCACAAACCAGTGCAATCCGACGTCACAGACTTTGTACTAATGTCCAACACAACTTGTGCACCACCAGGTAGAAAATGGCTGCAGTGCATGTGTGAAGGGGGGCTACAGACCATATGATAAGTTGCAGCCCAACAATTATTTTCAAAGCTGATAATTAAGCAGATTATTATTTGTCATTGTTTAATAATTTTATACAAAAAACTTTTTTTTTAAAGCCAACTGCTCTGGAACTCTACCTTATATCAATATCACCCAGTTTTCCAGACATGGATTCATGCGGCGTTCCTTTTACCCCTTTTACCTCAAAATCTGGATATTGGAGCTGGGAGTCACGTCATTCCCAAGTTGACTGCATTCCAGTAGTAGCAGATGGAAAAGCAGCCTTTGTTGTGCTCCCTAGCAAGGTAAAGCCATTCATCCATCATTAGCAATACAGCACAATGCCTGGTTTTATTGCGCTTAAAAACATCGCTGCAGCACATCCGCGTGCGTGTGTATAGCTTATATAGTGAGTGCTGGATCGCTGCCTGCTAGTGAGTTGCAAATACACAGCAGCGGTAATACAAATTACAAGTTTTACAGTTTTACTTGTGTTTAAGAAGTCAGGGTTGGTGGGGCTTTTCTGACTTT